TGTTTATTGCACAGAGGGGGTAATTTTGCACAATTTCAATAGATTAGGGGTGTTTATTGCACACCTTTTCAATTAGGGGGTAAAAATGCTACAAAAAGTATACTTCAGGGGTGTTTTCTGCACTTCCCCCATCTAAATTACCATCACCACCACTTAGCAGGAAACAATACTAGATAAAATATAATGAAATGTTGATATTAAATTGAGAGTTAAAAAAAATTATAATTTAATTATTTAACGGAGATGGTATGTCGCACCTAGACCTGTCAATGGAGCGGATCCTGATCCGGATCTGATCCAAATCTGAATCCGATCCGATTAGTCGGATATGGATTGAACAAAAAATCCGATAATCCGGTTACGATCCGAATCCGATAATCCGTTAGCTTAACAAATCGGATATGGATTATGCTGATCCGATCCGATAAAACTCCGATCCGATCCGATTAAAATTATATATATAAATAATTATATATATATAATTATTTATCAATAATTTTACACATATATATATCAATACTCGTATTAGAATTGTGTTAGAGGTAACCCAAAAATCCAAATTAATAATAATGTTATATATAAATATTGTGGTGTTCTCATCCACATGCTAATAAATCTCTTAGTACACATACTAATAAAATCACTCTCTTTATAATTATATATTTTAGTCAATATTAATTTAATCCGATTCGATCCGAGTCCGAGCTAAATATGATATGGATTGGGACATTCAGTCCGAGAACCCGTTAATGATCCGAATCCGATAATCTGTTTGCTTAACAAATATGATATGGATTTGATCGATCCGATCCATTTTCAAGTCTAGTCGCACCATCTTCCATAGATGGGATTAAATTGTGATTAGATGTGAGAAGTCAACTATTAAAAAACTTATGAATGTTGTCTCGAGAAATTTAGGTTGCTATGATTGTTGCAAATTTGATTGGAAGCAGACGGACCTTTTGCCAGCATTGATCGACTCAGACCGAGCCGCAGTACTTCGTGGTCTGAGTTCTATTGGGTGGAGGTTTCTCAGTCCCCAATCAATCCACATAAAATATATATATATATATATATATATAGTCCTTAAACTGTTGTCTTTTTATAAATAACCTCTTGAACTACATATTGTTCTCTGAATTATTAATGTGTTACAACTAAAAATAAAATTTATACAAAAAAAGTATTTTACTATTTCTAATTAAATTTGTCATTTCTTATTAAATTATTTTTATTATCTTTTCTCCTATCTAAATATTAATTATATCATTTACCTTAATTTTATTATTAGTATCAATTTATCATAAAAATAAAAAAATATATATATTTGTAACTATTATTTTCTAAAATGATTATTTATTATTAAAAATTTACTATTTATAATAAAACTTATTATACTCAACTTAAATTTTTTTTACGGTAAAAAAATAATAATAATTACCTTCCATTTCATACAATATATTTATAAAATTTTAATAAATTACTTACATAAAAAATACGTTCTTTTTCATGCAATAAATTCATGATTAGTAAAATGATTAGTCAGATTAATAAAAATATTCAATCTTCAAAGGCATGACGGTGTTGGCAGGGATTCAGGAAGTAAGTTCTTGAGGTCAATCGCACTCCTAATTTAAATGGTGCATGTGTTATAGGGTCGATACATGTACTCTAAGTGAAAAATAATAATAATAATAAAAATACTCTATTTCTATTGTTGAAAAAAGAATTGAAAATTTATTATTCAAAGAAATTGGGGGATGAAAAATTCTCAATTCCACCCTTGGCCTTTGTGTTTGTTTTCTAATTATCATGTAATAAAATTCCATTTCAATAATTTCCCTTCTAGAGATGCTAATTTCAACTCAGTATAAAGATTTAAATAAATAAATTCAATATAAATATTGTAAAAGCTATTATTATTAATCTTTGATCTTAACATCATACACCATGATGGTCAGTAAAGCTGAAAGGATAAGTAAATTGAGGTAGCATTTTACATATTAGGAGAAAAATGGATGTGGTTCAATGGTATTTTTTTTACCTTTTAAAGTGTATAACGAGAAGCAAAGTGGAATACGTGTGTACGTGAGTGGTGTGTGCACATTTCTTGCTAATGAAAATAATAAATAAATAAATAAATAAATAAATAAACAGGCGAAAAGTTTATTCCACCACAATAGAGCAGTCCAACACACATTATGTAATATATATATCAATTTAACCTTTTTTAATTAGAATTTTCGGGCATAATTCACCCCAACCAATAAATATATATACTGTAATTTTTTCTTTATACATTCAATTGGCTAGCATCTAACAAGGTCTCATGTGCTCTTCTTCGTTTTGTTTTAATAATTAAAATGTTCTCTCGATCTTTTGTAGTTGCTTGATTACATATTAATTTGTAACTGAATTATTAATGGTAAAACAAGATTAAAAGTTTATAACAAAATAACCTTCCAATCCATCTTATAAAAAGAAACCTAATAGCTATCATTCATTTCATTCCATACAAATACGTTGGGCAAATGTTAACTTATGTACGCGAAAAATAAGTGTGAAATAAATCATGCATTATCTTTTCATATTTTCCTAGTAGGACTCATTGAGTGTGAACGTACTTTATCATGTTTCACAACCAACTGTTGAAACTTCTGCATGATATCAGACATTTAAATATCCTCCACCTTATATTTTTCTATTGCATTTGGGAGAGGGTCAACAAAGTTTGATATTCTCATCATTTTTATGTACTTAGTTTTCATATATACATTTTCATATAATGATTTATAACCCCAGCCATTTAATTCGTATATATAAGTTTGAGAGATTGCAGGGTTCATTACATTTTCATAGATGTATAATCCCAACCGTTTAATTCGTATATATATATATATATATAAAAGTTTGAGAGATTGGAGGCTACTAAATAAGGTTCTCTTAATATAACTCTATATCGAAACTGTTTGCCATATCCCGTCATATCTAACAAACCCTATTCAGAAATTTCTTCTTTCTTTTAATAATCTCTAGTAATTAATATATTATACATCTGACATAAAAAAGATAAACCATTTCTTTCAATAAATGTTTTTATTGTTAAAATCCATTTTTTATTAGAGTTACCAAATAACAAATGTAGAATCATATATTCCTAACATGAATATACTTTAAAATATGAATATGATATATAAAATAAAAATAAGAAAACTAAACATCATTCGTCTGCTGGTGGGGCCAAGTTACGAACAAATTTTAATCTAATTTACTTTAAAAAAATATTAATAATACACTTATATTACAAATAAAAAATTGTGGATGTTTTCCAAAGGTACCTTAGGCAAGTGGTTTTGTTTTCTAGCATTCTTATTTTCTAATATTTTGAAAAATGATAAACTAAAAATATTGTAATTTTGTAAGTTAACCAAATATGAATGTAATTTATTCATTTTGTTGTTGTGATTAACTGATCTGTCATTTAATCCATTCATTGTGTGAATAAATTATAAAATAAGAAGATGAGATCACATCTCACAGTTTAACAAAAAATGATACCAAACACAGTAACAGATACTAAAGATGGTACTAGATGGTATCACTTCACTTCCTCTCTTCTTTACGTTGGATAAGTATAAATTTTACTATCCTCCAATCTCTCAAAATTTTAAATATATCTCAAAATTTTACGATACATGTACTATTATAAATAAAATGGATAGAGCATTGACAGTCCGTTTGGAATTGCTGTTAGAATATTGAAAGTCCTTTTATCAGTAGACTTATTATAAATTTGTTGGGTGACACATTGTATAAAATACTTTTTATACTTGAAACACTTTTAAATTTGGTTGGTAATAATGTTGCTTAAGGTACTTTTATTACTAATTTTATTATATTACCCTTATACTAATTTTTTGTTAATTCTTTTAAATTTGTTTAGTAATAATATTGATTAAGATACTTTTATTACTAATTTTACTATATTACCCTTAAACTAAATTTTTGTTAATTCCCTAGCTAATATTAAATATTAATTATAAAATTTCATTGAGTTTAATAATTTATAAATATCAAGTTGTATTTTTTTTAAAAAAATATCACATACTTTGTTTATGATCGATATAGAATTTGTATTTGGTATTAAAATATAAATGGAAGGTGGTTGGAGAGTACTAGAATAAACTATGATATTTGTTCGTTACAGAATTCCAAAATAACTAGGTGTTTGGTATTTATTTCTCATAGGGACAAAATTGTATTTATAAAAAAATATAAAGGGATTACATTGTCTAAAAAAATCTGGTTACCTAAAAAGATAAATCTCTATCTCGCAGTTTTAAAAGTTACAATTCCTAACTTCACTTAAATGCATTTTTTTTTTTTTTTCACCAAACACATTTCTGCAATTTTTTGTAATGAAAGTACTTTTGAATCGTAGAGAAGCAATCCCAAACACCAACTCAATTTGTCTGCTTTTTGTTTTCATGTTCATCATGTGTACCAATTTGTCATTTGTGTATACTTCAAAGCTTTCAGATCCAAAGATATCAATACTTCTTAGCACAAAGCTTATAGTGTGAAGTGTTTGTTGGCCCACTTCAGTAACATATTTGCCTAAGCTTATATTTTGTGATTTCAGTAACAAGCTTATGTTGCAGGTATTCAATTCATAACTTGTGATTTTATGCTTCTCTACCCTCTTAGGAACATAATATTGTTGCCTAAGCTTATGTTTTGTGATTTCAGTAACAAGCTTATGTTGCATGTATTCAATTCATAACTTGTGATTTTATGCTTCTCTACCCTCTTAAGGACATAATATTGTATAAGATTTGTGTGACTTGAATTGGGATTTATTTATGGAATCACAAACTATAAATTCGAAAAATGATATTTTTGACGACAATTTTTAACCCGACTTATAACCAACCTACGTGGAAAGCTACGTGGAAAACTTTTGTGGCCAGACACCTAGACGCCTATTCTCCCATCCTCTTTCTCATTGTCCTCTCCCATCCCTAATTTTATCACAAAATTTGCCCCAACCTAGGTCGCAAACCCCCTTTATCTTCCTCATCGCTCTCTCCATTTTTCTTAGTCATTCATTCTTTCCCACTCCATTCCCAAGTTTATCGCATAATTTTGGAGTTCTCTTCCCTCCGAGACCCTGGCATCATTCTCAAGTTCCTCTGATTCGTTGTCGGGTCACCGTCAATCCTGACCTCTAAGGTACACTGTTGTTCATTATCTTCCTCTCACCTCTAATCTAAATCTTCCAGAAAACAGAATCAATCAATATATGTGTTTGTATGTGTGCGTGTGATCCTTTTTCATCACGTTGTATGAAGGATTTGTTGTGGATGTATTGGTTTGTTTGGTTCTGAGAGATGGAGGGAGGAAAAGTAAAGAAAAAATTTGGGAGGGGGAAAAAGATCACACGCACACATACAAACAAGTATATTGAATTCCTGCCTCTGTAGAGATTTGTTGTGGATGTATTGGTTTGTTTGGTTTTTGAGAGATGGAGAGAGGAAAAGTAAAGAAAAAATTAGGGATGGGAAAAAAGATCACACGCACACATACAAACACATATATTAAATTCCTGCCTCTGAAGAGATTTGTTGTGATGTATTGGTTTGTTTGGTTTCTGAGAGATGGAGGGAGGAAAAGTAAAGAAACAATTAGGGATGGGGAAAAAGATCACACGCACGCATACAACCACCTATATTGAATTCCTGCCCCTGTAGAGAGATTTGGCAGAATCTGAAGGGGAGCTCCCCCTATTACGAAATTCAATTCCTGAATTCAGATAACAACATCTTCAATTTATCATATTTTTAGTAAATTATAATATATGAATTCAGATCACAACATCTTCAATTTCTCATAATCTTGCATTTCAATACTTGTTCAACACTATATATGTTTTTTTGGACTTGTAATTTATTGACTCTCTTACCCATTCATTGCTGGTAAATAGTGTTTTTATATATATTTCCTTTAAGCTAATCACAAGAAAAGAGTGAATAATATTTTTTTAAATGAAAATTATTGGTATTGTATTAATATATTTAATGTGAGATGCCTGAATTTAGCGATTTCGCTTTAGGCATCAAAGTGCATCAAGCCTACTCTGGCCAGAAGGTTTTTGTGTTGAAGCTTGTTAATTTAATGGTTTTTGTGTTGAAGCTTGCTGCTATAATAATAGTACTTTTCAGAATTTCAAAATTGTTTGTGTGTGGTCTTAGACTGTAAATTGGCTTAATGTTTTGTTGATTTGATATGTAACAGTGTGGTAACAGTTCTCTTTCAACATTCATTAAAAGAGCCAGAGGATCAGAGAGTGCAACTTTGGATCATATAGACTAATGAAAATAACTAGCCCTTCAACTGATGTTGAAAGTGCACTAGCTTTTAGAGTTTTGGAAGGATGTTGTCTGTTTCACAGAGAGAGCACCATTTTTAGCCCATATTTATAAGGCGATTCAGGTTTGTTTTTTTACCTCATATGAGCTCTCGTTTGTAACTATTTGAATTATGTATTCGGAACCTATAAACTACCGAGAATTATTCACAAAGAATGATGAAAATATATTGGATTTTAGTACAAGTTGAAACTGAAAGTGGAAAATATCTATTCCAAAAACCTGACATTCGAAGGAATAGTGTTCACGATCCCCATAAATTGAATGTAATGGAATCCTATAAAATTGATGCAAGCCTTGACAATTCCCACCCTTTATTCAGCCATGTAAAATTATCAATGATCTTCTTTCAGTAGAAATCACATTGATGCAAAAAAAAATAATCTTCACATTAATCAGTGCAATAAGATTTTTCTTTTTTTAATGCATTTCTCAACTCTAAGTAGGAAGAATTTTTTATTTGTATAGGGGGACATGCAATGCTATGAAAGTGTTTTACAACATAAGTAACACTTATGAAATCATTCGGTTAATATCACAAAACTTCTAATATGACATTTAACAATATTTGTTGGCCATTGAGTTTTTTTTTTTTTCAATGACTGAAAAAATGGAGATGGAGTCAAAGTGTCTCCTTTTCTTAACTTCATATTATTTGTTTGTATGCAATTATTTAACTCTTGAGATCATATTTTTATTAGTCAAATCATTTTTCTGTAACAAGCAGGTTGTTACTAGTATGAATTTAGAGTTTTGCTCACTTCCTGATTTTTTAACTTTTGAGATCAGATTCTTATTTTCCTATTTCTTTGATACTTTTTAGTTAAGTTTTAGTTTAATACTCAACATTATCAAGTGTTAAACTTGGTTGCTTATTGAGTCATTTCATTACGTGGTTTAATTGTTTGTTGGGATTTTTTTTTATTCTGCTGCTTGAATCTATTAAATATTGTTTGTAGGAATGGCATATTTGTGTTAGTTACGGAGCTATGGCTGGGTACTTGGTTTCAATGGTGATATCTTTTGGATTTGTAGTCTTGCAAGGTGGGAGGATCGTGTTAATGAAGACTAATCAGCAAGGAGAAGTCATCAAATTGGAGGAATTGTGAACTCTACACTAATTGTTGGCCTATAGGAGCATGAATTTGGCCATGTTTAGCTTCAATTTTTTTTTTCCATGTCCTTGTTTTAAAGCTGTAAATTTTACTTAAATTGGTTTTATGTAACAAAACGTTTTTGGTGAATGGAAAGATTCATTGGATATATATATTTGAACTAAAAGAGCTTAGACATTGGTCTATAGCACATTCCACTTCTAGTATGTAATGTAAACTAGTATCTGATAGAGCCATTGTATTATTCACAATTTTTTTTCCCAAGTAAGATGTCATTGAACCTAAATATACCGTCTCTAGGACATAAAAATGATCAAAAAATAATAAAAGATAACACAAATACAATTAGCTGGTTTAGCAATACAAACTGGACAAAACCAGCACAGTCACTACCAACGTTTTCTTGACAAAGATCAGAACACAGAAAAAAAAAAAAAAAAAAAAAAAAAGAAGAAGAAGAAGAAGAAGAAGAAGAAGAAGAGACTATCATCATCAACAAATGGCAATCAGGCATGGAATGTATGAATATGAGTTGATTTCCACCAATATCATCACTTCCTAGAATACTTTCATCAATAAGTGGCACTTGGGCATTTAAAAAACAGATGATCAAAACCTTAAGTAAACATTCAAAAAATAGGTGATCAACACCTTAAGTAAACAAAAAATTGGTATTAATTAAACACCATCCAGACATAGTACCTGGAAAACAAGGGCATTCCCTTGAGCAAATAAATGAAAAGCAGAACGTCACCCAAACGCAAACACCAAAGGCTTCCACACTACAAGAGTCAACAACTGCAACATATCAAAAGGCAACATAGTAAGAGTCACCCGAAGCAACCCAGAACTGTTGGCAACAACAAAATCTAGAACACCAACAACCTGAGTGGTAGATTACAACAAAAGAATCATCTACTTCTCCAGCCCCAATGTATCAACGTTGTTGTGCCCATATCAATCCCAAAGAGAATCTGCAAACAAAATAAAATAAATAACTTTATATACCTTCAATATGTTGATCAACTGCGTTCTTTGTCTTAATTAGATCCAATACCTTCATTAGTAATCTTAGGTTTAAGATTTTTTTCACTAGGAAAAGAACCATCCATTGAATTTTTGGAACCAAATCTTTCATTGCTCTGCTACATTACATTTAAATAGCATTGAACAAATTTTTCTAAAATATGGCATAAATATACAAAAAAAAAAAAAAAAAAAAAATTACAATCAAAATGAATATCAACCTGTAGAAGATGGCTGAAGTAATGATTTTGCCCAGAGGGGTTGCTCATTGACATGTAGTGTTGTGGGTACACCTATCATCATTATAAAAGAATCACAAAAGTAAGAAATAATGTCTTGTAAGGCCATACATCAAATTCCCAAAGTCTTGAACAATGAGTAATACTGTTTTGGACTGTTGATGAGGCAAGATCAAGCTATAATTTGAATCAGGAATACTTCTAAGCGACACAACATATCCAACATTTTGGTTATGACATATATGTCCAACACTTTTGGTTGAACACGCACTTAAAACCCATGTCCAATAATTCAATTTTATTATATTATTGCTTCAAAATAAATATAGGATGTTCTAGGAAGAATTCATTCTAAAGGCTTTTTATCTCATGAAGCTGTGAAGAAAGAGAATACTGGAATTGAATATGGCAAGCATGGTGGTAATGGGCCTAATTATATATCACATAAAGTAGAAAAAAACAAGCAGTCAATTTATTGAGTGTAGCAATGCACTAACTGGAGATGAAAGGAAAGAACTTGAGTCGGCAATTGAAATTGAACTTATCAAAAAAAAAAAAAAAAAAACTACTTTATAAATTACCTGGAGTGACTTATTTCCAAAATTGCAATAATTTATAGTTGTCCCAAGATACATGCCATTCCAAAGATGTGTTGGAGCAATCTAAGTAACCACGAAAAAAAATATTTCACATATGAATCAATACAATTATGAAGTTTACACTATGATAAGTTAAATAAATATACAAATAATATAATGATTATAACACACACTCTAGTTTACCATGTGACTTTCTTGGATTAAAATTTTGTCAACATTATGTGAAGTAGTCGAACCAACATCATTAATAACTGTTGGAGTGCTTTGACATACCTATAGATGCAATACTTTTAGTAAGTATAATTAACATATAACAATTGAAGCAATAATAAGATATGTCTATGTACCTTTTTTCTTTTTCTAACTCGCGAGTCAACAATTTCACCAAGTGGCTCCATTTTTGTTGTTTGAGAGACCTATTAAAATGCATTAAAACAAAAATGGTATAAATAAAGAATATAACATAATTAAATATAAAAAACTAATGCAAGAAATTAAAGTTTTTCAATACCTTTTTCCCTTTTTTTATTATTTTGCCAACTTTACTTTCTTTTCGTTTGAAGGAGGACGACCTTTAGCTCGTACCTTTAATGGAGTAAGTAACCTACTGTGAACATTCAGAACTCCATGTAGCTTATCATTACATTCAACAGTAGGTATCGATGAAACTTGATTGATTTGTCCACTCCCATAATTTGAGTCCATGGCAAGAAATTTTTCCTTTGTCTCTTTCAATAATTCAATTAGAAGCTCACATTTATCATCAGAGTATGCTCCAAGCTCTTGAAGCTCATAAAAAAGTGGATTTAGCTTATTGCTCCGATGCCTTTGCTCACTATTACTAACATCATATTAAGTATTTTTCACAAAAGTGTACCCACGCTTAATGTCCTTTCGCCAACGTTCTAAAATATAATGAGATGGAACCTCATTCACCTTTTCTTTTATCAACACAAAAATTGCATGCTTGCACAAAATCCCTCGAAATTCAAACAAGTGGCATAAACATTTCACTTTATATTCAGTTTGGATGTAAATAACCTCAAAATCCACTTCCTTTCAACATATTTCATCTTCTCCTATAAAACTTTCGGTGACTATAAATGTAGACAATGACCCTTCTCTTAATGTTGGAGACATTATAATACATTAAATCCATCAACTCATTCTGAAACAACTTAAACACATCATGGGTGTAAACTTCTCGGAGTTGTTCTTCAATACGTAACTTAGTTATTGTTGGAATGGAGGTATTAAAAGAAACAAAATCTGCCTTAATTTCTTTCTCAACCTTACTTTTCAAGTCATTGTCATATTGTTCAACAAATTGCTTCAACGTGGTTTTTGAGTGAACATACCCATCAAAAAAAGCATTCATACTTTCACTTCGTTAGGTAGTTGACATTCCAACCCAAAAAGTAGTTTTCAAAAATACTAGAACCCACCGATGACGATCACCATATAATGACTTCAACCATTCATTATTCTCGAGGCCATATTCATTAATCATTCCCAGCCAACTTCTTTCAAACTCATCAGTCTTAATCGATTCGTACACAATGCTTTTCATGGTCTTCTTAATTGTTTTATATTGAGAAAGTCCACTAAGTTTCACAATAACCTTTTGCATGATATGCCAAAGCCATAAACAGTGACAAGAATCTGGAAACACCTTTGCAACCACTGCTTGAATAGCCTTACATTGATCTGTAATAATAGCTTTTGGAGGACACTCATGCATGCATGTTAACCATGTCTCAAATAACCATGTATAAGTGTCAGTATCTTCCTTAGATAATAAACCACAACCGAACAACATAGATTGTCCATGATGATTCACACCAACAAACGGGGCAAATGGCATGTCGTACCTATTTGTGAGGTAAGTAGTGTCAAATGAAATAACATCTCCAAATGACTCATATGCAACACGACACCTTGCATCAGCCCAAGACACATTTCTTGAACGCCCTTTATCATCCATGTCAATCATGTAAAAGAAATTTGAATTCCTTTTTTGCATGCAAAAAAAATAGTTACGAAGGGCTACCAATCCCAAGTCGGAGTCGTCTTGCTTTTGCAATGTAATTCCTACACTCCTTTTCACCAAATGGCAAATTTTCATACCCACCGGCCTCAACAACAGCTGAATGAAAATTCTTATTCAACTTTATACCCGCTAAGTCATTTAATTCCAATCTTTTGACATGAGGATCTAATGCCTTGTTACACCTAAAGTGTCGTACCTTTGTTGGACTTAATGCATGATTATGGTCGAGGTAAACACGAGCAATTATGAATTTTCCATCATCTTTAGCTGTAACGTTGATTTTAGCCTTGCAATTAGTCTTAATTAATGGCCTTGGGTGAAAAGTGTCTCTTGCGATTGATTTTTGCTTTCCATACTGAGCGCATGCAAGTGAAAATTTCCTTGATTTTCCGTCACTTCCATTCTTTGCACTGACTTTTATTACACCAAAACCTTGACTCCTAGCATAGTTGTTATAATAACTACGAACTTGTTCTTCAGAACAAAAAACCATTCCAACCACAGGTTTTTTAACTTCATCCCCAGGTAACACTCCTTTCAACTCTTGTTCATTTGCTTTATCATCATTAAAACCTTCTTCCATTTCTAATAATATAAATACATGCATGTTAAGTACTTGATTATTCAAATAAAAAGAATAAAATAAAATATTGCTCCAGATATCAACTAGTGTCGAATTTCTGGGTTTCAAAAAGTATTAGTGCATGTCTTCAAAAGAAAACTCTTTTTCCCCCTTTTTGGATTATCATGCTCATATTGATAAATAAAAAAATAAATAAATCAACAAACATGCTATAAAATCAATTTCACTGCTTGTATATCTCTTTAAAAAAAATCAGAATAGAAGGAAAATACAGAAAGCAAACCCATCTTTCAATTTTATTACTCATATATTTCTTAAAAAAATAAAAAAAAAAATCAGAAAAGAAAGGAAATATAGAGAGCAAACTCATCTTTCAATTTTATTGTTCAAATATCTCTTAAAAAAATCAGAAGAGAAAGTAAATACAGAGAAAAAAAACCCATCTTGTTTCAATATGAAAAAATATATATATGAAGAAGAACGATCCATACAAAAAAACGAAAAAAAAAAAAAAAAGAAGAAGAAGAAAAAGAAGAAAACATATTATGTAAACTAGAATCCATACCTCCTGGTATAGTTGTTTCATCAATCACTTCCATCCAAACTTTCCTTTTGGTCTGTTGCGTGAGGGTCAGCAAGACAACTCAAAAAGGAAACTGTGATTAGTAAGCTTGAGGCAAGCAAGACGCGATGAACACATATAAAAACGAAGAGAGAAAACAAAGGAGATGATGAATAGGCAAGAAACGAATAGGAAGGAAGTGTTATTTTGGTAGAATACGAAAAGGTAGCAGATTTTTTTTTTTTTTTTTTTTTTTTTTACCCTTTTTGATAAATAGATGTTGCTATATTTTAAGTCAGGCCCACAGTATTGACACATAGGCGCCAAATAGACTCGGTACAAAGCAGGTTTCTTTTTTTGTCGGGGGGAAATAGCAGTGCTCTTATAAATTTAGGTCTCTTTATCAAAAATAGATGAGAAGGTTGCTTCATTATCAATTTTGATCATGTTTCTAATCATTCATTTAATCATAAAAAAACTAACGAACTATTCAATCAAATAAACAAAAATAATAATAATACGAAAGAGACATGTTAAGGGTGCGCTTAGTAACATTTTTGTTTTATGTTTTTGCAGTTTTAAGAAAGCAAAAATATGATTTTGTTTTCTTTAGTAAAAATAGAAAGTAGAAATGATGTTTATTAACACTTGTTGTTGCCACAAATTTGAAAACATAAAACAATAACAGTGTTTAATAATACGTATTTGTTACAAAATGTACATAACATTCTTTAAATTTTTTATTTTATTTTTTATTTTTTTCATGGTAAGAATTTTAGCAGTTAGTGATTAGAGGAAGGGGGGGGGGGGGGGGGGGGGGGGAGGGGTAGATAACTTGAACACAAACTCTCAAACACAAGGAGCAACCTAACCACTTAGGCACCGACACTTGCTTCCATTAGTATCAAAAAACCAAAAATCTACAAAATTCAATTTAAAATTACAAATCTTACTAATATCCAATACATCATAAATACAAAATTAGATATAACAAGGCAAAAACATTCCCACCAATTATGTATATAAATACATGTATATGCATGATGTATATATTTATTATTTGATATATAATGTATTTAGCATTTGATAATTTATTATGAATAAAAAATATTAAATAATATATCTTATATGTAATAAAATATATATTGTGTTATAATATTGTAAATTAATTATAATTTAATATTTACATATAATATAATATATTATATAGATATGGTATATAATAATATAAAATATCTACTGCATAATAATTCAATAACCGTATATTCTATATCAAAAATTATTTTGTCACAAAAAATAATTTACATTATTATTTAATATATTATATATTAAAATATTTTTATCAAATAAAAAATAATATACAATATTTAATATATTCTATATTTAAAATATATACTTTTATTAACATTTAATATGCAACTTAGTATATAACACAAATAATATGAATTTTATTTGAAATGAATAGTGCCTGTGTAGAGTGAAAATATTTCTGCGCTACAATGCCGAAAAATAAGAATCGTCTTTTTTATGGTTCCTCTTTTTTTCCAAAAAATTTGAAAATATTTTTTGTTATAGAAAAAACAAAAATATTTTATTGAACGCCATTTTTATTTTCGTTTTGTCTTTTTAAAGATTGACAACAGAAAATAAGAAAGTTTTCCGTTACTAAACACAACCCTAGTAAAAATTTTAAACCCAAAATAATCATGTACATGTAACAAAATTAAAACACCTTTTTTGTCCTCTTGTTAAAAAGTCTTACCCGAAGGAATTAGCCTTGATTTGCCGTTATTACACATGATTATAGGGTAAAGTGAAAGAAAGAAAAACAAATAAAACCTGAAGTATGTTCAAATTTACAAATAACTTACTTAAAGTATATTTCGTTCATAATAACTCATGAACTATCATATTTTGTTACAAAATGCCTCAATGCTTAGACTATTTTAATTAAATGACCATAATGTCCTTTTTTATTGAATTACACTCAAAATTATTATTTTTTATTGAAATAAATTGTGGAAAAAAATAATAATACTAATTTGATGACATATTAACCATTAATTTCTCATAAATTACCTTTAATTTTTTTAATTAATTATTTAAATAAAAATATTAAGTAGAAAATTTTAAAACAATTTAAGTAATTTCTAAATTTTTTTATGAATTTATTGCATGAAAAAGAATGTATTTTTTATGTAAGTAATTATTAAATTTTCATAAATATATTGTATGAAAAAGGAAGATATATATATATATATATATATATATATATACCATAAAAGAAGTTTAAGTTAAGTATAATAAGTTTTATATCCAATAAAACTACATCCAATACATCATAAATACAAAATTCAATTTAAAATTACAAATCTTACTAATATCCAATACATCATAAATACAAAATTAGATATAACAAGGCAAAAACATTCCCACCAATTATGTATATAAATACATGTATATGCATGATGTATATATTTATTATTTGATATATAATGTATTTAGCATTTGATAATTTATTATGAATAAAAAATATTAAATAATATATCTTATATGTAATAAAATATATATTGTGTTATAATATTGTAAATTAATTATAATTTAATATTTACATATAATATAATATATTATATAGATATGGTATATAATAATATAAAATATCTACTGCATAATAATTCAATAACCGTATATTCTATATCAAAAATTATTTTGTCACAAAAAATAATTTACATTATTATTTAATATATTATATATTAAAATATTTTTATCAAATAAAAAATAATATACAATATTTAATATATTCTATATTTAAAATATATACTTTTATTAACATTTAATATGCAACTTAGTATATAACACAAATAATATGAATTTTATTTGAAATGAATAGTGCCTGTGTAGAGTGAAAATATTTCTGCGCTACAATGCCGAAAAATAAGAATCGTCTTTTTTATGGTTCCTCTTTTTTTCCAAAAAATTTGAAAATATTTTTTGTTATAGAAAAAACAAAAATATTTTATTGAACGCCATTTTTATTTTCGTTTTGTCTTTTTAAAGATTGACAACAGAAAATAAGAAAGTTTTCCGTTACTAAACACAACCCTAGTAAAAATTTTAAACCCAAAATAATCATGTACATGTAACAAAATTAAAACACCTTTTTTGTCCTCTTGTTAAAAAGTCTTACCCGAAGGAATTAGCCTTGATTTGCCGTTATTACACATGATTATAGGGTAAAGTGAAAGAAAGAAAAACAAATAAAACCTGAAGTATGTTCAAATTTACAAATAACTTACTTAAAGTATATTTCGTTCATAATAACTCATGAACTATCATATTTTGTTACAAAATGCCTCAATGCTTAGACTATTTTAATTAAATGACCATAATGTCCTTTTTTATTGAATTACACTCAAAATTATTATTTTTTATTGAAATAAATTGTGGAAAAAAATAATAATACTAATTTGATGACATATTAACCATTAATTTCTCATAAATTACCTTTAATTTTTTTAATTAATTATTTAAATAAAAATATTAAGTAGAAAATTTTAAAACAATTTAAGTAATTTCTAAATTTTTTTATGAATTTATTGCATGAAAAAGAATGTATTTTTTATGTAAGTAATTATTAAATTTTCATAAATATATTGTATGAAAAAGGAAGATATATATATATATATATATATATATATACCATAAAAGAAGTTTAAGTTAAGTATAATAAGTTTTATTATAAATAGTAAAATTTTAATAATAAGTTAATCATTTTAGTAATTAAATATGGTAATTTGAAAGTAAGAATGCTAAACGAAAGTAAAAATGATTAACGAAAAATATGGTAATTCATAAAACATTATTAAAATTGATAATATAGCAGCCTTCTAATCCATCTTTGGAAAAGTGAAGTAATATATAGTTTGTGATTCAATAAATATATCTTTTGAGCTACATTATCTCTCGGCCAGTGGCCACACAAATCTCGAACAACATAATGTTGTTACCACCAACCAATCTCCTTAGTTGCTGTGTTGAGAGGGCTAGTGAACTACAAAATGTAAATATATGTGTATACGTATAAGCTTGTTACTGGAATCACAAACTATAAGCTTAGGCTAACGAAACCTGCACACTATATAAGTATGCGTGCCTGTATCTTTGAATATATATGTGACAGTTTTTAAAATTACAACACACGATGACCGTGCAAACAAAAAGGCAGATGGAATGAATGCTCTATTCCAATTTTGAATTGATTTTAAGCACTTATATGTAAAGTATAGTATTGCTATTGCATTTGAGGTATCTCAATAAACTTCACATTGATAATATTGATTGAGTTATTGGTTTCTTTAATTTCTATTTTCTGTGTATCTTTAAAATTTTAAAAGATTGGAGGATATTAAAAATTTATACGTATGAGAAAAATTTTGGAAAAAACTTTTTAAAATCTGAGCCAAAACTAAAATCAGCCAGTCTTTATTTTCTATATAATTAAAATTTTGAAAGATTTGAGGATACTAAAATTTTATGCTTATGATAATATTCGTGACCGATTGGTTTCTTAAATTTCTATTTTCTGTATATTTAAATTTTGAGAGATTGGAGGATAATAAAAATTTATACGTTGTAGCTGCTACATGCTTTTAATGGTTGGTTACTTTGTTATTTTAATTTGCAATGGCAACTGAGTTGGAGTGTTGAACATTTAGAAAATTTGAAAACAGAAATTTGGGTCAGTGTTGGATGACCATGAAGAAGAAGTATCAGCTCTTCGAGGCTTATAGGGAGAAACCAAGGTTGATTTAGATATTGTACCTAGTGATAAATAAATAAATAATTTGAAAGAAAATAAAAGTCTATTCATAAATAAAATGGGGGATGACTATGAAGAAGAAATATCAGCACCTTGACGCTTATATGGAGAAACCAATGTTGATTTAGAGATTGTACCTATGGATAAATAAATAAATAAATTTATTTAAATAATTCGGATGAATATCACATGTAAAGACTGGTGGTTTCAATTTTAATAAAGGTTTGAAAAACATAAAACATGAAGATGATTAAATTTCTCAGGCAAAAATGCTCTTATAAATGAATAGCCTGTAATGTTAAAAGTGTTGGAAACAAATATTGAGCCTCATAAAACTAGAGCAGAAACAGGTAGATGTGATTACAACTTCAAACATTGAAAATCTGGAAGGAATCAATGACGGTGTGCAATTTGTCTTTCATCTTCTCCCATCTCCTCTCGTTGGCCCCCGTTGACACTGTGTAAAACTTCCCTGAAGTGAAAGAAGGCAATCTCAGTGAGAAAGCATATATATACTTCATACCATACAATGTTGAAATCACTTAAATGAGATATCCTGTTCCTTGGTGAGACACCAAAGAACAGGCCAGACACTAAATGTCTCTACAAAGAACATTGAAGATCACAACTATAGTAAATCCGGAGCTTGTTAAAATCAAATGAAAATTGAGTGAAAGAAACTAATCACCAAAGACTGCAATGTAACTGAATTCCTCCATTCCACAGAGGAAGAAGATTTTAAAAACTAAGTCTAGTATTATTGTTGAATCTTGTGTCTTGAATCCTAACCGTAGAAAAGATGCCAAATGTCAATAGCTAAGTAGGCTGGAGTTTTCTACCATTATGAGTATGTTGCTGATCTGAAAATCTCATACCTCTGAATAAATGTTGATTTAAATTCTATTATAGATTCTATCCCAATCAAATGTGTGTAGAAATTGCAAGAATTCTAAGTGACTATCTCCAACTCGTCAAGGGTCATTCCACTTTTGTCTACCATAATAAAGTCATGTAAATTTGGAGAAAGAAGTACAAATAAATTTTTGTATGAACCACGCATACAAACCAGAAAAGGTGAGTTCAGGAAGAAGTCATTAAGAGGAGATGAGGAAGGCCAAGGAAAATGTGGACAACCTTTGCAAAACAAAGAAAAAAAATAAAATAAAATCTCCGTCCAATTTTATATGTGGCTGTGGAGTGGCAGAACGAATTTGATAACCCATCATTGGCATAACACAATTTTCAACAGATGAGACTCTGTGACACTGTTTGGAACATGCATATACCGAGAACATCACGTATTCACCAAATAATATATAAATTTGATACCATTTCCAATGCAGATTGCACTTAGGGCATGGCGAGTATAGTTAGGAGCCCGAGCAACGAATTCAATTGTATAATAAGCTCTCCCATCAACATCATGCTGTACAAAACCATGGGACAATCAATCAGTCAAAATTCAAAGAACCATTCTACACGCCCCACCCCCACTCACAGTCAGTGAGTTGGGGTTGGGGATTATATCTTTCTCCAATTCAGAATTGCATAAAATCAGTTAAGATCACTCAAATATAAAAGGGAAAAGCTATAATGAGGGTGTGAGCTCATGGTGAGAGTGCCCTCATCATAAACTCAGTCAATATAAAAATTGACATGACATAAAGCAAAAAGAAAATGAATGATGTGTTGTAAAAAGTCAGATCTAGCAATTATATTTCATATTTTCTTCTATATACAACCTTTTGCACTGTACACAACCAAACTGATGGCATAGGTTAAGCAATATATTTGCCTAGAGGTACCAACCTTATATATGCATTAGATGCAACATGCAAGCATTTAAGTATGTATTGTGTAAACTCCATTAACTCTACAGAAATGTGTGTGTGTGTGTGTGAGAGAGAGAGAGAGAGATAGAGACAGAGAGAGCTCACGATGTTGTTGCCAGACTCATTATAAGTTGAAAAAGATATTTGTAGATTATTTTATTTTTTTGGATTCTGTTTTCCCTTAAAGCCCATTTTGAGTTGTGCAGTACTTACGTGAATGTCTGGTTATATAATAGGAATTACTAACTTGATGAAAGTAACTGGAGTTTCAGGAGGTGATGAAATGGACATACGCATTGTTTTGCATACATGGAACACCAGTACTGTGGTGCTTTGTCCCAACTAGTTCAGATGGCAACGAGAATCAACAAGTTAGGGAGGTGGGTAATTGTAAACTCTAATAAAACGAGATACAGAAATCTAACCTCTGCTGCCTCGATTAGCATTGTTTTCTGGGAAGGGGGAGCCAGAACCTTTTTAATTAAAGTTTCAGCAACCTGAGTCCAATGAGTATATTATGATAGATCCTCACAAGGTTCAGGCATATACAAAAATATAAATATTGTCCCAGCAAAAAAAAAAAACAAAAGAGAGAGAGAGAGAGAGAGAGAGAAAGCTATTGGGAAACAATATCAAAAGCATTAGCCTCTGTGATGCTTATTAAAGATAATATGGTGTGAAACATGTAGCAAACCTCCTGTGGGGATCCAAGATCTCGAATGTCCTGTTTGGTAGTGGGGAACAAATTTACACTGACATTTTCTAATGGTTCTATGACATCTTTGAAAACCTTGTCTTGCCCTTCAATGACTACTTCCTGGTCCAAAAAAAAAAAAAACCAAGACAATATTTTAAAGATATAAATATATATAATACCATAAAAAGAGTAATATAGTACATTCATAACTGACCTTTGATTTTCGCATTTCAGCCATAAGACAGAATAAGGCAGAGAAACTACAATATGGCACACAGAATAAAGCAAAGAAACTGTAGCAATGCGCACCTGCCACCCAAAGGGATAGACAAACGAGTATCCGTCCTTCTTGTCCGTGACTGACAGAAATCCTTTCTTAGTTTCTGCAGCAACTGAGCCATATCAAGGGTGTACTCTTAGGATATCAGCCATCATTATTCAAGGAACCAAAGCACTGCACAGTTGGCAGGCGCTTTTAATGCTTCTTAAAGCACAAAACAATCAGAACAGGATAGGAACCATAAACTTCAAAAACAAAATTAAGCTTTAAAAAGCAAAAATTGGAGCACGTTGGGAATAGCACCACATACATGAATTTGAACTCTGGTAAGGCATCAAAATCCAAGGGGCAATTGTTGCCCCAACAGCAAGCAGTTGGCGCCTTCCAGGTCTATCTGAGAAAGAAAATATTCTGATTTATTGAAAGGTCAAACTGAAAGGAAGGAAACATGGAAAGATTTATTGTTGACTCATGAATACAAGATTAGTAAACTGCACATATGCATACACACACTGAGTACTTCTTCAAAAGAAAGTACAGAACTGCTTCCTGGCATTCTGAAATTTGTGCAATAATATACTGTCAAAATTATTATTTCATGTTTCTCATAGACTAGGCTTACAATAAGATACAATTCAATAATATAGACTTTCTTTATATGCATAAAACAAATATTATGAAAATGTCTATCAAATTAAGCAGAACTCGAATAAGCAAAGCATGTCCATTGTCCAATCAAGCTCTCAAGAGTCAAGACAGATAATAACTACTCACCGTCTATATTTGCCATATTAATTAAATATATTTCATAGTTGCATATTTAAATTCTACAGTAAAAATAGGCCACATAAGTGAAATCCACCTTGACGGTGGAACGTTGAAGCTGCTGGTGCTTGCTCCGCCCTGACAAGAAAGGAAATGCCTCTTCGAGATGGCCTACACAACCCTAGCTGAGGCATAAACTGAACTTACCTGAATATTTGAAAAGCATAACACTCGCAAAATTTAATAGAATATGAGAAAGATAGAGATAGAATATGGACTGAGAACCTGAGTAGATGCGTTTGGCAACCATGTCTGATGGATTGAAGTGTTTTGCAATGACACCATTTTCAGTAGCTCTGCATGGTGCATATAACAAAAGAAAAATGGATTTAGGTTTAACTATGAACGAATATAATTAAAGAATGCATCAGTAGGATATCCTATACTTGTGGTGGAAAACTCATTTGTACTATTAGATGATTATTCATCGTCATCTTGTGCTTCTCTGGAGAAGAAAAAAAAGGAAACGAAAGAAGAGTGCCGTATCAAGTTAATAGATTCCAAAAACAGGTATTCAAGCACTCAATTCAAATTGAAGAATTTGTACATTAGCAAATATTTATAGGACATTGCAATTGGTCCCGCTCCACATTATCAAAAAAGAACTACTAGTTGAACCAGAAAGGTCAAAAAAGGTTTGATTATTTTAGTCAGACCAGTCATTGCACAACTTGAATACTTAACTGTATGTGTATCCAACTTGGTTTCATAAACTTTATTTAATATTCACTAATGCTTACTCTCAATAATTCAGAAGGATTATATAAAGATTATTTTTTGTTATTAGAATGCATATAAAATTAATCATAGAATTGAAGAAAGATTGGTTATTATATGTAACAATAACTATACCTTATTCGACAAAGCCTTAAGTCGCTAAGAAATAACATATTTATAAATAAAAAAACTAAGTCAATCGTAAGGCTACTGTTATCGTCAACCTGCACCCTCAGTCATCGGCAGTCATCGGATCAAGAGTGTGACTTGTAGCGCTCTCGATAAAATGGCTAAGAGACTGAGTTCACTGGGCCCTTACGGCAACTATTTCCTTAATAAAATAAGCATGGCCAGAATGGAAATGCTGAAATGGATGTGTGGCAAGACAAGAAAGGATAAGACTAGAACTGAACACATTCATGAGATGAAGCGGTTAAAGTAGCACCAAATGGAGATAAAATGAGTGGAAATTGTTTAAGATGGTTTAGCCATATGCAGCAGTGACTGATAACTAAACTAGTGACTCTAGTGAGGAAGAGTGAAGTCTTCACATTGAAGACATGGTGGGAGAGTGGGTAATGTCTAATGCAACAAAAACGAGATTTGGATCTTTCGTTGGTATTTTATGAAATTTACCCTCACCCAAATTCTATCTAAATTTTGTAACATCAATTCTAAAATTGATTCTACATGCTCTAGAATAAGTTGTCTGTCTTTGTACATACTCTCACCTCTAGTAGCCTTATTACCTTTAACAGGTATGATTGCACATTGATCCGGTCATCAATCTGCTTCTATCTACAGACAGCTCCCTCCACTTCTTGTTCATTACTCACAATGCCTGATTACAGAAAAACTCGTTGCCTTCTCCAAAGGCACATATGATAAGTAGTGAAGTCCTATACTTCTGAACAGGTATCTACATATGGGACATCTTCTCTTAGATAAGCCCTAACATATATATAGCAAGGATCTCTTCACAAATAAGTCACACTACAAAGATTTCCTTCTTCTCATATAATTCTTGATGCCTTCTCTCCGGCATCTCTGAATACTATTGCAACGACCTTGTCTCCCCAAAAATCCTTGCAGTGACGACCCATTTCCCTCATATTGTGTTGCTACCTTCTCTATAGGCATCTCTTAATACTATTGTGAAGGCCTTATTTATTTATTCTCAGATAAGCATCTGCTGCAATAAAATGTGCCTTCTAAAGTGTTTTGTAATGAAGACCTCAAAGTTTATTCTTTCTTCTATAAATTAGTACTTATATTCTCATATTACTAAGTGATTATTAATTTAATATGGGGAAGTGAAAAGCGATATCGGATTATTAAAGTTGTTACTAATATTGTGTGGAAAGCTTAGAAGTCTATCTAGAGAGAGAAAAGTATTGTTAACAACGGTAATAAAAAAAAACAATAATAAATAAAGGACAACCCTATTTCTACAGTGTAACAAGTCTTTCATTAATTTAATTCAAGTAGCTTATCAATTTATATATTATTCTTTAGGATATTCCAGGATTTCCCTTTAGAAAATTAGGCTCCAATGGTGATCAGAGTAAAATCAATCTTTACTTGCTATCCTAAGAGGGCGGTTTCTCTTTGCTTGATCCTCATTGTAAAGACCTCTTGTCATCAGATAATTTTCACTTTAACCCAGAGGTACTATAATTCACCTTGTGCACTAACAAAGTTGCAAGAAGAGGTTAAGGGCTTCTAAGCTTTGATGCATACTTGTCGTCATGTCCAACTTTGAAGCACTCGTATATATCATAGCCCTTCTTGTAGTTATAGTCATAGCTCATATTGGAGTACATGGACATGTGACAGACCTTTGAAATCCTAATAGTACGTGGCTTGGTGCATGAAGGCCAATGCTTGCCTAGGTGTCTAAGTGACCACTCCTTAAGGCCTCCTCTTCTCAGGGTCTGAACAAATCTTAACCAGTCTTAAAGAGATACAGCAATATTTCACGTAAATCTCGGGTTACATATGCTCTTTATGACGTAGTAACACCCTATTAGACTGCAATAGGATCTTCTTACGGACACTGGCCATTTTGGTGCCATCCTAACAGGCTAACACTGCATTGCAGTCCATTACAGCCCTTATGCGCTGGCAATTTTGTGATCTTAACACTGCGTTATAGCCCTCATGGGCCGCATTGCCACCTCTATAGCCATAACACATCCCACCTACAATGCCTTACTGGACATTCCCAGCACATGCGGTGGCATCCTATTGGACCACTTTGGGGACACATGGTTTCTCTAAACCCCAACAGTGCCTCATCATCATCCATTTACTATAAATTGAGCTTTCATATACATTGGATAAGGATTTTAAACTCTAAGAGACCCTTTGAACAAACAAAGATCCCCGCATATTTGAGACCTTAGAAATACTATAGGCTTGGAGTTTGTGTTGACCTCAATACTACCACTGCGTCTTTTACAAGTCAGCCTGGACTTCCACCTCCCACATGCCACCTTGGACACAAATTTTACCAAATTACATATAAATTTGTAATACCTCTTCTTCCTACTCATCCTCAAAACCCACAGATATTGTACAATGCAAACTGAGATTTTAAAAAACAGCCTAATATAAATAAAATTGCAACAAAAAAGTTCCAATTTGAATCACCAGATCAAAATTGCAGATTATTGTCAGGACATCATAACATGAAATTAAATTTTAGCCACTTCTCAATTGACAAACGTATGATGATAATGACCATAAAACTGAAAATAGAAAAAAATAACAAAAATTCGAGTTCATGTCACAAACCATGTTAAATGCAAAAGGCACATAGCACAATTCATGTACTGATAACATACCCAAAAGGACAGCCTTTGAATCAATGTAGAGCCAACAAAGAAAAATAGTATAGATACAAATAAACCAACCAAAAGGGAGTAATTGTACCTTTCTTGGTCGCCGGCGGTGAGTTCTTCCGACAAAAAAGAGCTGCCGCTAGCAGCCTATGGGTTAGGCTGAAGAGAGAGAAGGATTGAAGAAACAGTTGGGTTTCTAGTTTCTACACTTTCTCTATCGTTACCAGTACCACATCATCCAAATCTCATATCCACTTGTTTTATGTTCTCTGGTGGTTAGTGCAAAAACAAAAAGGAAATGATAATTCCAAACAGAGGGCATTTACGTATTTTCATTTGGGATGATATTTAATAATATTATCTGCTTCAATATATGGCTTGAGCTGGTTGACCTCCTCGTTGTTTCTCATCATCCGATTGGTCAATAATTTTGTCTAGGGATGGTAGATAATCCTACGGGTAATATAGAGATATCAAGATCCGTATCATAGAACCCGTGACACTGTATAAGTACTAGTTTTAGGTTTTTTCGAATTGTTACAGTATGTCGAGGAAGCTGAGAAACTGAGCTTCATCTCTCTCTGAAACTCTGAAAATGCCGAGACCCTCGACGCCATTGGCGTCTCTGCAACTTCGAGCCCTACTCCTTCGCCGCTTCTCTTCATCTTCTTCGCCTATTCAACCTCAGCGTCTTTTTCATCCTCCATTTTCTCTCTCTAAACCCTCATTTCTCTGTCCTCTAGCACGAACCCATCAGCACTGTTATCCGGCCAGCTACTCTCCCTCTTTACCCATCTCTCTTTCCTCCTCCAGAACCTTCTCATCAACCCAGATCGACCCATTTCAAGATTCAGAAGAGATCGCCCAATCTCTCTCCACTGAGCTCCTTAAAGACCCAGACTCTGACTCTCTCTCTATAACCCAACACCTAGACCTCCACTTCTCTCACATCACCCTAACCCCTTCTCTGATTCTCCACACGCTCAATATTTCCCCAGAAGCAGGCCGTACAGTTTTAGGGTTTTACAAATGGGTCTCTTCAAGACCTAATTTCAAACCCACCGACGAGACAGTCTCGTATTTCGTCGATTACTTCGGTCGCCGGAAAGATTTTAAGGCTACACACGACGTCCTCGTCAACGGTCGTGGCATTGTGGGGGCTAAAACCCTAGAATCTTCCATTGATCGGCTTGTTAGGGCTGGTCGACCGACTCAGGCAGTGTCCTTTTTTGATCGAATGGAGAAAGATTATGGTTTTATTCGAAACCTTGAGTCACTGAAATTGATTGTGTCGAAGTTGTGTGAAAAAGGATTTGCGAGTCATGCTGAGAAAATGGTGAAGAGTTTGGCAAATGAATTCTTTCCGGATGAATATATATGTGAGGTGCTGATCAAAGGGTGGTGTGTTGATGAGAAGCTTGATGAGGCTAAGAGGTTGGCAGGGGAGATGTATAGGGGTGGTTTTGAGATTGGTACTGTGGCATATAATGCAATTCTTGACTGTGTGTGTAAGCTTTGTAGGAAAAAGGACGTGTTTCGGCTTCAATCAGAGGCTGAGCAGGTGTTGGTTGATATGGATGTTGCAGGTGTTCCCCGCGATGTGGAAACATTCAATGTGTTGATTAACAATTTGTGTAAGATTCGAAAGACGGAGGAGGCACTGAATTTGTTTCATAGAATGGGTGAATGGGGTTGTTATCCGGATGAGACAACATTTATTGTTCTTATCAAGAGTTTATACCAGGCTGCAAGGATTGGGGAGGGAGATGAGATGATTGACAGAATGAAATCTGCAGGGTTTGGGGATGCTCTTGATAAGAAGGCATATTTTGGGTTCTTGAAGATTTTGTGTGGAATTGAGAGAATTGATCATGCTATGAGTGTTTTTGCCAAGATGAAGGAGGATGGTTGCGGACCTGGAATCAAGACTTATGATTTGTTAATGGGAAAGTTGGTTGCTCACGGCCGTGTTGCTAAAGCAAATGCTCTTTACCAGGAAGCTGAGAATGCAGGGGTTCCAGTGACACCCAAAGCTTACAAGGTGGAACCAAGGTTTGTGAAGAAAAAACCTGCAGCTGTGAAGAAGGAGAAAAAGAGGGAGACCTTGCCTGAGAAAAGGGCCAGGAAGAGGAGGACTCTTAAGAAACTCCGGCTAAGTTATGTAAAAAAGCCAAAGAAGATGATGCGTAGAACCTTCTGATATTCTTAAAAACTTGCCTGTATGATGATGCATCTCTCAAATGGTAACGGAGATTTGAGTGCCTTTGTAGAATTTTGATAAATCAACTTTGATGTTTTTTGTTGTTTTACTTTTCTGTTTGCAACATTAGATAATAAAATTTATTTCTGAGTAGATTCCTTTAATTCAGAATTCCTTCATGCAAAATGAACATCTATGGTTTGGGTCTAGCATGAAGCACTTGGCACTTTTGCAGGGTATTAACATTTTACTTCAGTCTAATATATCTGTTCCTTACTGCTTTATATGAGCTTTCTTCCTATATTCTCTGTTAGCAAAGTATGTAGAATTCCCTGCAACATTTTAGGTAGATGGCCAAAAAATGCTGGGGCAACTTTAGTGTCTATTTTTTAAGGCTAATTACTATTTTGAATTATTTATCACTTGTGTTTTTCAATGTGCTGCTTATCAGAAAGATTATGATTTTAACATGTCTTGTTTAATCAATTTATACTTTTATTTCCAAAACATTTGGCTCTAAGTTGTTCTTATATAAGCATTGCCCACAATGTCGATGTCAGTCTCATCATTTACATTTACATTCACATTCATTCTCAAATTCTGCTTACATCTGTAATTTGATCATTTCGATGTACTTTCTTGCCACATGAATTTTAAATCATTTATGGATTGCTTTGGACATGGTTGAATTTGGTTTTGACATGTGACCATTAATTTTTATGAAACATTGGCAATCTTCTTCTGGGATTTTTACAGTTGGTCTGAAAATATAGTTCCCCACCATAGTGCATGTTTCAATATACACAACGTGACAGTACTTTGTGAAAATGTTAAAGATTGGATTTATATATCATTTCATCACACTTCAAATTGAATAAGAGGAAATGAGTTCCCAGCTTTGTACATTCACAGGGAAAATAAAGCTTCTTAGGGCCTGTTTGTTATCTGTTTTACTTTGGTGTTTTTGTTGCAGGGCTTCATTTCAAGCCCAAAAACATGTTTGGTAGCTATTGTTTTGTTTTAAACAGTACTAAAACATTGTTTTAAACAGTGCTAAATTTGGGCCCAAAAGTTAAACACCAAAATGGTGTTTTTGTTTGTTTCAATACTGTTGCCCAATAAAAAGCACGGTAGCGGAGGAAGTAATTGTGTCTAACACTGTAGCGGATGAAGAAAGTTTAAAACGCATTTGCAACATTCGCCCGATTTTTTCTCTCCCCTCTGAAACCCTAGACGTCTGGCGATTTGGGCGATTTGGGAGGCGACGAAAAGGAATCGCGATATTGTGGGTAAGAGTACTCTCCCTTCTATTTCTCTCCTATTTAAAGACCTTTCCTTTCTTGTTTCCTTTGATGTTGCTTTACTTTAGAGTGGATCTGTTGAATTACATGGTGCGCGATGCTTTTCTGGATTTATTTGTGTTCTTGAGGGTTTCTGAAAACCGAATAATTTTTAGTTCTTTTAAATCCAAAATATCTATTTTAATATCTACCAGTTCTGTATTCGTACCCTTTTTTGTGGGTTTCTCTGATTGTGTGCAAACATCTTCTCCAAGAACTTCTATTGAACCATTATTTGCTGTTTTTTTGGAAGGAAAAAAAGAGAGCAAAAGATATAGCGAAAAAGTTAAATTTTTTGCTCGGAGTTTGATAATCTTTACAGATTTTTTTTTCTTTCAAAATTACTCATCCACATAATGCAATGCTGCAACCTTATAAATACAATGATTTGTTTTATTTCTTTTCGCATTCGATGCTATATTGTTTAATTGTTATGAACTAGTGAAAAATGTGCTGCTGTATGTGTGTATTTGGAGAACCAAAGAAACCTTCTTTTTTTTTTTTTTTTCATTTTACTTTTAATGGTTTGGTTAGGAGTTCAAGAATCATAGATTGTTATTGTATTTTTGACCGGGCAAAAACTGAAAGAGATGTTGTTTATAGTTGTTTCCCTCTTGGAGGAGACATGCCATGTACTTTTTTCTTCTTCCACTTTTTGGGTTCATTTTTCCTTTTGAAGCAGTATTTTTGTAACTCTTATCTGGGGAAATTTGTTGTACGATTTTGTTAAGTTATATTAATAGGGAAGTGAAATGTAGAGTTCAGTTATTTACATTGTATTAGACATTTTGGTGTTTGGTCCTGCTATTTTTGCTTATGAAGAGCGACATCATTCTTCTTGATGGAGGTACCAGACCCTTGGCCATCTGCTTCACTGTGTTTTTCTCCTGGCTTTTACTTACTAATGCTTGATAAGGAAGTTCTGATCATTGCATTAGTTGTACATTGGTTTGCTGCTTTTTAATGTACTTTTTCACTTGCTAATGTTTGAACTTGTACTGACCCAACTGGGATTTTGTTTAGTGTGTTCAATTTATTTATTTATTTTTTTTTTTTTTCAGCCCTTTGTTGTGTTCGCAGGCTTTAGCACATAGTTTACTCTGCTTTTTAATGTACTTTCCTATCCAAGTTTAATTTCACAAATTGTATTCTTGTATCAGATTAATCCAACTGGTACTGTTTTCTGAACTCTGCCGTGGTTTTTGTTACGAGTCTGTTTTCATTATGTTACTAGTTCTAAATCAAAATAGTGGTCGATAAATGTAAGAAATTTGCCCAGGAAAGGAGAAATGTATGTATGTTATGTCGGATTAAATGTATTTATTGTGAGTTTGAGCTATAATCCAGTCTTGTTATATTTATTTATGATGTCCATGCTGTGCCATATCCTGAAGCCAGATTATCTGCTCTGAGTTCTCACCAATGATCTCATCTTGTGCTTTTCAGTTCTTCATTAAGAAGATTTTGTTTCCGTTTGTTCTTCTGGTTATCGTTTCAGTGCATGATTCTCTTTTAGTCATCTATCTGCAGTCCTGCATTTTCAAATTTGTTAGGTGTTCTCACCACTGATCTCATGTTGTGCTTTAAAATGATTTTTTGCTTTCTTGTTTGATGCAGGGACCCAATTACTTTGAGGTTGACCCCGACATTCATCGCTTGAGCTACATAGCAAGGAAGGCACTTGACGCATTCCGAGAATACTTTTATCAGGTAACAATTCAGGTAATACTTTTATCTTGTTACTTCCACTATTGTTGAGCATTCTGGTCTTTATTTAATGGAGCCTATTAAAATAAAGAAACTGATTAATATTTTTCAACTTAAATTCTACCATTATAGATGTGAAGTGTGTTGATACTCTTTTGAAGGTGATGTGTGCTGTTATGAAGATGACGTGTCCTACTATTGAAGCTTGTTCCATGGAAGTGAAATTTATGTTTTTTGAAGTATGTCTCCCGTGAGGAAAACATACGGAAACATCTTTTTATTTGTTAAGCATCTTTTTCTTCGTTTTTGAATCCTATTGTTGAAATTTGTAAACAATGAAGTGAATTGTGTTTGAACTTTGAATTATATATCCTATTTAATTTAATCTACTGTTTAATTTGTTCTCAATTTCTTTGTCATTTTTCCTAATTACAGAAGAATGAGTATGATTTGAGAAGCTTCCTTGCAAGCTTCCATTCTAGTAAGGTGCTTTTTTTATTATTATTATTTTTTTTTTTATGACTCCTTGATAGATGTTTTGTGAAGTTTGACTCCAAATAAATGGATTAGAAATGAAAAAGGTGATCTTAAATTGTCTCATTTTTTGAAGGTCTGTTCTTATAGAACACCACGTCTTGCAGGTTTTGAGTGGAGAGCAAGAATTGTCAGAGCTTGCCAGAGCATCTGGATTTAAGTCAACCTAATCACTGCTAAGTATATAGGTCATTTACAGCTCCTGGATCGTCTATGGTAGCTTACGAACTAACTGTTCCATATGCTTCCTACTACAAGAGCTTGAGTTCATAACATACTGGAAGTAATTTCTTGAAAAAAAACATGAAAGAGACGTAGGGATGGGGGGGTGGGTATTCTTTATTAAAACCATTCGAGTACTGGGGGGTGAGGCACTGTTGAAACTGCTGTTGCTGCTGCTCCTCCCTTGCTCTGCTTTTACATATTATAGGCAATAATGTACATAATATTTACCCTTGGAATGTGCAATACAAAGTAAATTATGCTGTCACGATTTTCCCCCTTTTGATTTTTGATCAAAGATATTTGAACAATAGCTCTCTCTGAACTAGTGACTTCGTAAAACCACGCTTTGAGTTCGTAATGAGCCTGTTGTTGACGTCCATATTCTTTTCATTGAGAACAAACTAGGACTATGAAATGAGTTTGAATGGGTTTGTTGTTCTTTGTAAGTGAATTAGACCATTTTTTTTTATAAGTGAATTAGACCATTTTTTTTTTATAGATTTTATTTGAAGACAGAAAATTTGGTTGCAAGAGCAAAAAGTGGAGAGAAGGAAAGCAGGTTGAAGAGTTTTGCATAATATATATAAATTAAAAATAATGATAACCAAACATGGTTTTTTTTTTTTTTTTTTTTTTTTTTTTTTTTTTTTTTTTACAACAGTTGGAGTTACCCAACACGAGTAGTTTTCAAAATTCTTGGAACGCAGGGTTTACCAAACATGTTTTTCATGTTTCTGTTTTCGACATTTTCACAACAAAATATCGTTCCAAAAGTGTTTTCTAGCCAAAAGCAAAACGCCTAAAGCAAAACGCATGCCAAACGGGCCCTTTGTGTTGAGATACATACGAGGCAGGATACGGGATAATGTATTTGATGTAAAAATAGAAGTAGGAATTGGCTAACAAAAGTTACTTTTGAACTGCTTGAGGTTGCCGAATATATAGGAACCAAGTTTACAGAGGTTAGTTGAGCTAGGACTAAGCTTGGAGTTCGCCAGTTTCTTAATCCAAGTCAAGCAAATCGTGAATCAGCAAAGACTTGTTTTGGCTTGTTTGCTCCATGTTTGAACAACCAACTAAAAGAAGAATAAACGGGAAATTAATACACTAATTCTATTTCTACAGGTATCTGTGCATCTCTTCTCTGATAAATTGAAATGTAATCTGCAAGCAGATCCTACAATTTTTAGTTTCATTTCGTAAGGGGTTTTTGCTATAATGTAGTTCAGGCGATTATCACATAGCTTCAACATATTCTTGACTGTATCGGTGTAAGTGCATTAATGTTATACTATTGTTTTTTTGTGTGCAGAAGCTTCTTGATGGCTTCAATTTGTATCTTTTCCAATTGAGTCTATTAGGTTGTTGTGCATGCGCGTATCTTTGTGTTTTTGTCTATGTGCAGATTGCTTTTGTTTTTGTCTATGTGCAGCTTGCTTTTGTGTTTTGGGTTATTAGGATTAAAACCTAGGTACCTCAGTACATATTTAGTAGCGTACAGGTAACTGACATGCTTTAAATCAATATCGTGTCTTAAGCCTTGATATGCTAGAAAGCTTTCACTGTGATTCTTTCGCAAAGAAAAGTCGAGGATCTTATTTTCTTTTAACTTTGCTGTCTCATATTACTTTCATGAATGACTTCCAATTTCAAAACTATATTGAAAGAACAAGAACACATAATGAAGAAATCTTCAAATTTTGGAAAATATAGATACAAATAAAAGGACTTGATATACTATGTTGCGCTATGAGCACCTCAGTAAGCTATAAAGCATTTCAGTATGCAATACTGAGCCCAATTTATTTATTCACAAACTCGTAACTGTCTTACGTTGAATGTTTATGTAACTATGCCTTACAAACTCTTTAAGTTCTCATAAAGAAGTTTTGGTGATACACTCTTCTCGTCAAACATGGCACAGCCCTATAGCAAACCTGCTTTGTTCTGCCACTAAAATTTCCAAAACTCTTCCTCTCCAATAGGATTATGATCAGCTAAAAAACATTATTATCAAAAGCACAAAAGCTACCATTGTTGATAATGCTTTTGGATTTGCAGGAGCAGAATTTGGTAGATGTGGGTATTGATCAGGAGGGGGAAGCTTGCATTCATCTCCATTAAAGTAAACTTTCCGAGGGAATGCCCATCCCTGCTTGAATGAAAATGTGTCCTGGTCCTTCTGAAGAAGTATCTCAGACTGGACATTTCCTGAAGGTCCAGCTTCCATCAAAAGGTCATTGTAGAATTTCATGCCATAGAACATACCAGTGTCATCTGCACATTCATGTCAATATTCATACATCTTTAGTGGGGAGTTGTTATTAAATTAGAAGCATAATTTGCATTATGCTTGTAAACATTATGCTTTAGGCCATGTTTCCTAAGCGAGGCCGAGTAATCTCAGGCCAGCAGTCTTCTACTTCTAGTAGACTGCTCTGTGCAAGGTCTGAAAAGAGGTGAATTTGAGGTCACTGTGTGTCAACCTCGTGTGCATGTTAAAGGCCGAACACTTGTATTATGCTGTAAAAGCATACTGGGAGAATTCTAGCTGCAAGAAAATTATCTTCCCAATTGATGAAAGACATACTTATGGATTGGTAGGGCACAAGAGGCTTGTAATCAAAGCTAAAAACTTGAGTCACATTGTTGAGATTGGGATGCTGTGCCACGAGCGTCCACTGCGAGTAGTTTCTCCTGTAATTAAAGTTTGTGACGGCGACCTTCACACGCCAGTAGTCCTTATAATTGAGCTTCACGTGCCAATGTACACGTACTGGGCACATATGACGAGTGCACTGCAACAGTGGGGCATTATCCTTTCTTGGAGTGTTTATTCCCACCTTCTTCAATCGTTCTGAGTCACTCCTGTTTCATTCCATAATCCCAAAACATACTTTAGCAATGGTTATATCCAAATACACATATGTAGGTTTATAAATACATGCATTCATGAAGACTTATTTATATGCACATTATGGATTGAGGCGTGAAAATTGGAAGGGATACTTACATGATGCAGTCTTTTTTGTTTTGGCAACCACAAGAACAAGATGGGCAGGGAGTGATGGTAGAATTGTAGAAAGATGAAAAGGAAACACAGCAATTTGGGTTCTTGGCTACCAAAAACTGTGAGTAAGTGCATGTTACGTTCCATGTCACTGCAAGTAAATAGTGAGTCATGTCAATTGGATTTCTACCTCCAAAAGGGTTTCGAAACATCAGGGAACAAAGGAACTCACTCTGTGCTTGAGTTCGTCGCCTACGATCGGCTGTAAGGAAGACTGTGGATGGCACAATCTTTGCAGGGCCACAAGTGTACCCTGGTCCTGGACCGAGCAAAGTGAAATTCTTGGGCAGTTTCACTGTTTTATTGGAAGTGCCGGCCAGACCAACACTCACCTGAAAGGCAGAGACTGCACCCGTAGGATCTTGTCCCCACGACGCCACCACGCCACCCTTGCAGCAGTTGGAGAATTGTTGGTTGTAAGGGACTCCAGGAAGCAAGTCAACAACTGTGGGATCTCTTTTACAACAGTGAGGTACGCCTCCTTTGAACTTGGAACAATCTCCTTGTTCTGTAGTTTGAGCTCCCACCATGGTCCAAATCACTTCTTTTTTAGCCCATGCCCATCCTAAGGTCCACCCAGGGCTCATGATGGGCCGATACAGTTGAAAGTTGTTCATTGTAACTGCGGCCTGGATTGATAAATTTGTTAAATGACAGTCACTTTTCCTTTTGTTTTCTTTTTTTCCTTTCTAGCAATTGGTTCTGAAACTGATTTGGTTTCTTCCCATTGCTGTGATGCTAAAAAAATGAACACTCTCATATTCAGATTTAGATGATTCTTACCACATAACCATCTGGGGTCCAAGACATTACATCCCATTTTATCGTTATGTTTCCAAATGGATCCAGTGGATCAAATGCCTCTAAAATTTCAAATCAAAAGCATGAAATAAGTGAATGATTACATGAACAGAGAAGAATCAATATCCATGTTTGATATCCTAATTTATGAATTATACCTGCATGAGAAAAGATCATGATGAAGAGAATAGCCCATATGGTGAACTTGAGTTCCGCATATGAGTGGTAGTGGCACTGCTGGTGATGATCCTTTGCTTTGCAGAAAATTTCACGAATCCGGTTGGCAGATGTATCATTTGCCATTGCCTCAGATTCACCGGAATCACAATTTTCTGATGATGTACCAAATGATGCAGCAAGAATTGGTGCATTAAAAAGCAATAGAGGTGATTCAATTGAAAACGAAATGCATGGAGATTGCACACCTAATGGTTGTTAGGTAGTACATGTTACAAGTTTACTCTCTCCCTCTCTCTCTCACACACACGTACCTATTTTAGTTCCTGGGTTGGTGAGAAGTTAAAACAGGCGGGAGATCTTAGAGACATTTAAACAAAACAGGTCAAAGGTCATTCTCTTACTGATGAAGACCCTTCATCTCATTATATGCATTGCTGACTTTACCCATACATACACCAAACATCATACTAATAATTTCAACCCTCCTTTATAAAAATTAAAAAAAATATATATATATATATATCTGATATTTATTCTCCTTTAGTATTGCAGCTGGAAATATCTTATGATAGGGGTTATGATAAGGGTTGTGAAGACCACTGTTGTTAATGCTGGTAGGAGTTTCTTTGGTGATCAGCTTTCACAGTTGTGTGTGTGTGTGTGTGTTTGGCTGTTTTCTTACTTGATTTACTTGGAATTCCTTTCATATGTACAGCAGCAGCAGAGAGGTGGGTTTTGTGGCTAATATTGGGGAGATTGGGATGTACTGAGATAGTAGTGACATGGGTATGCCCCTTGTTCCCTCTCAATCTTCTTCCAAATATTTCTGATGCACCAAAATGCTTGACAAGCTTAGCAATCTAGTTTATATAGATTTTACATTGTATAAAAAGAATTTTAAATACGAAACTTCGTTATTAATAGATATTGATGAGATGATATCACGTAAATATTTTTATTGATTACTTTTCATTCCCATAATAAGCATTACATTTTGGGAGAACAAGTAAAGATTAATAATGAATTTGGTCATATAATTGAGCTTCGGGTTATTATAAATGAGTTTAGTATGTTGAACACGTTTTAGCCGTAAAGAATAGTTTAAAAGATTAATTTACATCATGAAGCCAATAAAAAATAAACCAACCTTTTATGTTCTTTAGTCTTTGAATACCGACTCAAAAATGCTGTTTTTACTCATTAAAATGCTCGACACCTGCAATCTCTTGACCAGAATAACTACTGATCTTCAACATATATAACTGAGTTCAAAATAAAGAAGATTAAAAATATTCAAGTAATAAAATGTGATAAAAATTGGAATTTATATACCGAATAATGAGTAAAAAAACAGTAGCATGAAATATGAATTGGAGAAAAAAGGATAACCCCAGAGACAATGGGAAATGGGAAAGGTGGATTGAGAAAACTCATGGTTGCCGCACATCTTGAACTCCAAATATTGAGTGTGCGTGGCGTGCCATGTCATTAATGTATCAACCCAAACATACTCCGTAATTTATTATCTCCCTAGCAGGAATTTTATAAGTAGGTGGGCCAACTTATTGAGTGGGTACGCTAATAATATGGCGCGCGTGGTACATACAATATCTACTCCTTAAACACTCCATGAGAAAAATGCACACAAGAAATTAGTCACACCCAAAATTTCTGATCCTGAAGGCCCATTTCCCATTCAAATCAGCCTGTTGGACTCCAGAAGGCCCACTCCCAATTTTAAACCAGCCACATTCTCTTGTCCAAATTAAGAAGTGGTTCGAGTATTGTATTTATTATTATTATTATTATTATTATTATTATTTTCGGAAGTTAAGAAACTGTTGACGTAGGATAACTTTTTAAACTTGATAGAGTCGACTAACGGAGAGAAGTGGAGTGTGGGCTGCTGTTGTGGACTCTACACCAATATCACTTAATAGACTATGAATAATTGTAGTATTATTTTTTAAAAATATTTTGTTTTCTTTATCACACAAGAAGGTATTGGGTGTTTTTGGCGTTCATCGGACTCATTCGAATAGTCCGCTTTGTTCACACATATTATACACATAGTTCAAATGAGTCCAAGACACCGTGCACCGGCCGCACCCTATATATATTTATGCCTATTGGATGAATACTCCAACCTTTTTTCTTGAAGTCGTCCTATTTTGGTATGGCATCTCACCTAACTTGAGAGCGTCATTGGTTTCTTAAGAATCCACCTTTTGGGTGTGAGTGGAGAGAGGACTGGATTTCTGAAAATTGTTGGACAATAATGGACTTGAGCATTCTCTCAAGGGGCTGTTTGGTTGTTGTGATAATGCAACTTATCCCTTTATTTTTGGTACACACATTATTTAAGAAACCTTGTAGGGTTAGTTGAGGCTGGATATTACTTGCTTAAGTTGTGACACCCACCGACAACAATTTAAAGAAATAATAATTTTTTCTTTTTTCTTTCGATAGTCACAAACTAGTCCGTTTTGTTCAATGAGAAAAAGAAAATCCTTTTTTGTTGGTTATAAATGAAGCTTGTGACAGTAGAGATTCTAAAAATCTCTTCACCTTTACTGTAGAAGTAAATAAAGACCTCTTGTCAATAGAGTGATAAAAATACTAAAATATCCTTCTTATAATTAAAAAATTTTAAATTCAGTTAATATAAAATTACTATTACATCTTTTATTTTTGAGATTTATATAGAAAAAGGAAAGGTGTTCTGAGAATGAATAAAAGATAATTTTGGTATTTACTTATCAAATCAAAGATAGTGATTTGATTACCATCTATAATTTGATAATAATAAAAGAGGATTGTTATTTGTCCAGAAAGTAAAACTATGGAATGTTTTAGATACTTAGCCTGACCATAGATACTACTGGCAACACCTCTCAATTTTTATGTAGTCACTAGAACACCTAAGTAAATATTATCCAAAAATAAATATATAAAGCTTATGAATTTGTAGTCTAATGTGATTAAAAATAAATAATAAATCTAATCATTATCAATATTTTTAGCTTAACAAAATAAATCTAATCACTATCACCATTTTTAGCTTAACACAAAATTATTCTTTTTTCATTCTTTTCCGATGCAAGTTCTTCCTACTATAATTTTTAATTTTTAAACTTATTTTATATATATATCCTTTATGTATATTCATATTATCTAAATCTATTTTTTCTTATTTTATCCTAATCTGTTTTACCCCTATTTTTTTGCTAGCAACTTTATCTTTTTTAGTCAAGTTAAACCTTTATCATAAAAAATAAATCTAATGACAAGTTTAATATTAAAATAAAATAAAATAAAATAAAAAAATTGTATAAACATTATGGACAATACGTAGGTCATTATTAGTGAGGATTTATAACATACCTGATATGGACCAATAATAAATTGACATGTCCTATTTTAATTACCAAATCATAAATAGTAATCAAATCATCATCTCTGATTTGATAAATGAATATGGGAAAATTATATTTTGGTGACCAAAATTAAACATAATTGCTATATAGTGACCTTAAAGTCAAGAAAAGGTAAATAGTGACCAATTTTTAAACTTAATTGATATTAAGTGACCATTTAATGGTTTATTACTTAAATAGCCTTCTTATAATATATTATTATGTAAGTAAACAAATTTACCCTCTACATTAACCTAAATAAACACTTACTTAAATTGACTAACAAAAAGACAACAGATTATTAGGGTGAGTCTCTGAAGAGAAGATCAAGATGGGAGAAAACTGATGATGGATATTATACATCATTTTCTTCAAGATTCTAAGAGACATGACGAGAAAATTGTAAATTTTTTTCTTATTCATTATTTTCAAGGTATAGTTATTATACTTTACGAGTTGATTTGTCTGAGAGATCTTCCTTAAGATATAAGATTGTAATTTTTAGGAATTTTTTATACTACTTAGTTATAGTTCAAGAAATAATGACTATTGTTGATTAATTTCATAATTTTACTAACTGTTAAAGAGTGTTTCAAAAGTATGATTTGCCACTGTAAATGTTATGAGCGTTCATATTGGAGAGCCTTGAAAAATAAATAAATGATGGAAAAGGTAAATTGTAAACTAAAAAGGAAAATATTAGATGGTTGAGAGCCTTGAAAAATAGATAAATAGTGAAAAAAAGATAATGTTGGTAAAGAAATCTTAATTTTTTAAATTGGTAAATTATAAACTAAAAAGGAAAAAAAGAAAATGTTGGATTAGAGAGAGAGAGTAGGAGGAGGATGAATTTAATGACTTATTATTTATATTGGATGGCAATTTTGTCATCTAAAATTTATTTTTAAAATGTTTATTAAACTTTTAAGTGTTTTTGACTAAATTATCCTTAAATGGTTTTTGACTAAATTCTCCTTAAATGGTCACTTAATATCAATTAAGTTTCAAGATTGGTCACTATTCACCTTTTCTTGACTTTAAGGTCACTATATAGCAATTATGTTTAATTTTGGTCACCAAAATATAATTTTCCCAATGAATATTTACTCACCATCTATTTAATAATTAAAGATCACATGTTAATTTATTATTGGTCCACATCAATTAGAGGATCTGCAACATACTGACTATTGACGTAGATGAATAATAAATAGACATATCATCTTTAATTACCAAATCAAATATTGTGGGTAGATATTTACCTACCAAATCAGAGTTATTGATTTGATTATCATTTATGATTTGATAATTAAAATAGAATGTACCCACCATATTCAATTTGGTAATTAAATATCATATGTCAATTTATTATTGGTCCACATCACCTATGTTGTAGGTTCTCATTATTGTCCATTATATTATATGTACGAGGAGATGAGCAAAATTTATCCTTCATTAATTTAGAAACAACGAAATCACGACTGTCCTTTCCTAGTAACTCTCCTCGTTGGTTGCTTTAGGGGCTAGTTTGGTAGGTGGGAATGGTATGAAATGTCTATTCTCCACCTTTCTTGGAGGATGATCATTCCATCAAAATCCTTCCACTTTCCAACAGAGAAATGGGCATTCAATTCCCCACTTAAAAAATACGTAATAAAAATAATATTAAAAATTATTTTACTTGAATGATGTGATTGTTAACACACTTTTCTCAAACAACGAGATCTAATAAAAGTCAACTTTTTATTTGATATTCCCTCAACAATTTCCA